GGAGGAGTAGTCATGCGAAAGAAGAAAGTATGGATAGTATCTTACGCGGATGATATGGTATTGATGGCGAACAATGAAAAGGGGATGACAGAAATGATGAGAAAAATGTGAAGATACATCGCAGAAAGAGGCCTAGAGATGAATACGGATATATCGTAAATAGCGAGAGGCAGAAAAGGTAGTGGAAGAACGAAAAAGATAATATTTACATGGGAAGGAAAAGAAATTGAAGAAGTAAAAATATACAACTACCCAGACCACTTCATACAGAAGAACAACGGAAACGAAGAGCAAATAAGAAACTTAAAAAAAGGCAACTTGGAGAAAGTAAGGAGCATATCTGAAAAGAATTTCAAGGAAACAAATACATAAAAAGGATCATCAGGCTTGATCAAACAACACCAAGCCATCTACTAAAATTAGAAATAGGCAAAGAAAAGATGGCAAATAAGACAAGAAAAAGGGCGATAAAATATGAGGAACAAAATTAGAACAGAGGGAAAGTAATCTACTTAAGAAATGTTTGAAAGTAAAAGACAAGATACAATTAAATACAGGAAAAAGAAAAGGTAAAAAGGGCCAATGGCAGAGGAATTATTTTCTAGAAAAAAAGAATGGTCACCTAACTACTTTGATCAACTTATGGAGAATAACAGCAACAGCAACATGAACAGAAGAAGAGAAAATTAAAGAAGAACAAGACAAGCAAAAACTAAACGAAAAACTAAATTCATCGCAACACGCAAAAGAATACAAAGAAATACACCCAATCGATAAACAAAACGCAGAAGCTAACACTAACACTAACACTCAGGGGCGGCCTTAGTCATTGGAAGGTTCCGGGCGGGTAAATTTTTGCGGGGCCCTCGTCTTTGTGGAATTAATTTTAATGATAATACTTGAAAAATGAAAAGTGATTCATANCGAAGCACAATCATTACTAATATATCTAATTAATAAATAAAACGTTCAAATCAAGCAAAACTGAACACTTACTATTAAAGCCTGTGTAAAGCATGATAACATTTCAACATGACGACAAAAAGCAGATATGCTTATCATTAACATTATCTGGTGAACTTGCGCCGTAAGCAAATGGAAATAGTTTTGAAATGTCTTACACACATTTACAGGGTGTGACAGAAAAAGTTGCTATTACGAAATTAACGCTAAATATCAAAACATAAATCATAAATTAAATTGAACACGTTAATCATTATATACAAGTATATGTTAAATATGCAATATTATCTGAAATGAAACTTGACAGTTTGTATGTAAAAATAATACAAGAAAGTCCTATTTACTTCCAACTTTGTAGGTAGTGAAGACGATTTTTTTAGTTTTCTGTAAATTCATATCAAAGAAGGTGAAATGCATGTTGAAAGTTAATCTATACATCTGACTAATTTCTGAACACAAATCCGAAATTGTTAAAGGTATAAATATAAAATTTGGACAGTAGGTTTAGTTTATAACGTAAGTATTACCTACTAAAAAAAATGTTAAAAATGTTATATCATGCATAAGCTTCCAAGCACATTAATAAATGGTTGTTGAACTGCCACTACAGTGGAATTCGTTAGCTTAATTTTTAATATGCCACAATAAATTATTGGCAAATAATCATTAAGCATACGTACGTATATGGAAAAAAATAACTAACTGGCGAGGTAATTTTTGTAAGTTTTTGCATTCGAAAATAAATACACAAAAA